AAAATATTAATTACTTCATAACAATTATTTAACACATAGTCAAAACATCAATCACACAATGAAACATTTAAAATAAAACCAATGCATATTTTTGTGATTTTAATTTAAATTGTCTCTTAAATGCATAATTAAATCCTATATTCATGCAAATATGTATTTTATTTTATTTTTGTTTAATTATGACAAAGCAAACATTTTACGGACATAAACAAATTTTTAACATCACGCAAATTCAGAAATTACACAGTAAAAGAAATTTATTTTGATTTATTTCGGAGTAGTTTTTCGTAAGGCAAAAATCACGTGCTCATAGTGGTAGTTATCGTGTTATTTTCTTAATTTATGCTAGTCGGGTATTAACCCAAATGCTTGATTCTATTCTTTGGTATAGAGGCTCCATAGATAGTTGTAAAAGGTTATAATAATGGGATTGTACACGATATACATCAAAATATATTTACTTTAATTAGTCTCATTGTAATTATCATAAAAGACGTCACGTGTGATTTCGAATTGGAAAATATTTTATCATTTAAGCTTCCGCAGGTTAATTGGTTTTCATGCATATGAATTGGTTCGCTCGGGTCGGATAGTGTGCCGGGTGCCGATCATGTGGTTTTGGATCGCGACACCAACGAAATTCTACATTAATGATATCATTCATTATATGACAAGTTTATTAATGACATTATTTCTAATATGAGGCGATGTAATTTCAAAAACTAGAATAATAACGCAGTTACGCTAAATGAAGAAAATAAAAAATAAAATATACAAACAGTTAAATGGAATCACAAGAAGTAAAGATAGAGTAATAAAAAATAAATAATGTTAAGAAAAAAATATTTTAAAATTTTAAAAAAATAAAATAATTAAAATAAAAAGAAATAAAAGTTATAAAGAAAATAAATTAAAATAAAAAAGAAAAAGAAAAAAATTAAAAAGTAAACTTGTAATTACACAGTGTAATTACCACCAATTCTCACATCTCATTGAGAATAGGAGAGTATAATTACATCTCTCCAATTACACCTAATTTTATGTTGATCAAGTGATAACTTGATTAGACAAACATGCCAAACTATATAATTACGACCAAATTTAATTACGAGTTGGCTTTCTAAATAGGCTCCAAAAGTATTTGACTATTTTCTATTTTATTCAGCCCACCATTAAGAATTTAGTTAAACAGTTCCTTATTAAAGAAAAACGGTGATCTCATTGGATCATATTTCGGTCCGTTGCCGGTACCCCATTCCCTTATTTCTCCCGACGCCAGCTACCGCCTTTTCCCGCACCGGTTGCCGCCCCGCCGCTTTCTTCCGACACAGCTCTAAATTCCCGACTATAGCCAATCGAGAAGAGAACGTTTCCGGAAAATTCCAGGGTTTGATAAAACCAGCTGCAATTCAAAGGTCCAGTAAGTAATCATAGAAACCCTAAAACTATAAATTCAACAAAAAATAGAAATTTCTAATTCCTGTATTGCTATTTATCTTCATAAAAGCGCAGCTCAAGATATCAATTTTTGCAGTTTAAGGATGATGAGAAAGTCGGGATATGGTTTACAACTAAGAGTTCCACCATCACAGCAGAAGAAGAAACTTGGGGGACCCACAAGGCCTCCGCTTTCTACAGCAGCACTTGGTTTCGGAGATGATGATGATGACGTGGAAAAAGAAATTTCTCGCCATGCCTCCAAGAATAAGGCTCTCAAAGATGTAAGTTTTTTGCTCTATCTCACTATTTTCACATTTGTTTTATGCCTTTTATGAAATCCTTTTTATCTGATTTAGTTTAGAGCTTAAGGTTTGTGCACTAACAGTGTAATTACATTTACACAATCAAGTCATTTATAAGGTAATTACAGGTAAATCTCTATGACAAGCAAACAATACTTGATACCCTGATGAAAATGGTAAATTAACATGTTATCAGAGATAAACTTCATTGATAGTGTAAAATATCTTTACAGTGTAGTGTATATAACTTAAATCCTTTTGTTTAACCCAAAAAGAAAAGAAAAAAGATGTATGACTCAAGAAGGGGAAGTGACTAGGTTTACAATTTTCAGTTGATTCATTTTGTTTTGTGGGTTTTCTTTTGGCAGATTGAAGAACAGCATAAGAAGGCATTAGAAGAGGACCCTTCAGTGTTTGATTATGATGGTGTATATGATGATATGAAAATGAAGGCTGTCCAACCTCGAGCTCAGGATCGCGAGGAGAGGAGGGTATCGTTTTGAGTTCCACTTTTTGCTCTTTAATTTTTTCCAAATGTCCAATACAATTTGATGAAATAAAACAAATGAACAACTCAGAATTTGGAGAAGATACTCTATGCAAAAACATTTGGAGAGGAAAACTCATGATTGTTTTTGCAATTAATTGTGAAACCATGTGACACTAGTTGCTTTTGTAGAATTTGTTTTCCACGGGAAAGCTTTCTTCCTTGTTATATTGCCAAGTGAAATTCTTGTGTAGTAGTGGAGTAATGAAGCCGTGCTGTTAAATAAGATTCAGTTCACTAAGCAGATCTTGTATCAAACACTAAGTAGGCTAACAAATATTTTAGCCGGGTGTTCCTCATGTCGTTCCAGAAGACTTTCTCCTGTTTTATATGCTGTCCTCCAGAAAAATATCAGATTCTTTTAACGAATAGGTATTCCCTCTTAACCTACATGGGAAATTCCCAATTAGAGTGGTTTCCGTGTCAGCTTTAATCTTTTCAAAGAAGCAAGTTTACATAGTTTCAAATTTATGATGCATATATGACTTATATTTGAATTGTATGCCATACCAGACTTAAATTTTGGTTGAGAATATCTAACAAATAAAGAGATCATTAACTGATTTTCTGATCATCAGTTTTCCTATCTAATAAATTTACCACTAATGTCCAAGTCCCTTATGGGAAATTGATTCTGTATCTAGTTAGTAATGTCTTGAGAGGCGATCACTTTATTTTGTTCATATCTCACTTGGTTGAAGTAGTTTGTGCAGTATTTTCATTGTGGTAAACTATAACTGAAACTGGATTTGAGATCTTACTTTTTCACGCTCCATCTCAAAAGATATTACTTTTTCGCGTTAACACAACTTGAAGCCTTCCTAAGTTATATCCTGGTTTACCTCTAGAACCTTAAACTCATGACATGTTATAGTGGCTTAGGCAGTAAAATATTAGGAGGAGGAGGAGTGTTTCGCGAGTTAAATAAAATATGAAAAGATTCTGGAAAGTGTTACTTTTTGAGTGTACCTCCTTTGTTTTGTTATTCTTTACCGGAGGACTTGGAAAGCTACTTCTTCAACTGCTCTTCTATACCTAGGTAAATTATTTCTCACATCTGAGGAACTAAAATTTTGCAAGAAGAATCTCTTGATAGATAAATTGTGCGAGAAGAAAATAGGAGGGAGTTCTTCTTTTCCCGGTGGTTATATTAATCTATGCAATCTTTGCTGCTTTTGTCTGGTTGCATTATCTTGTAGCTGAAGGTCCTTTGAACTATAGACTGTAGTTTTCTTTCTCTCAAAATTTTTTCTCTAAAGCTAGAGTTATATGTTATTGGTGTTACTTTCTTTCTATATTTACTTTTTCCTTTATAATATTATCTTCAACATGTGTAACTCTTTGAGCACTGGAGGATAGAGTAATATCTGCCATTTTTACTCGACAGAAATGAAAAATGTTCCTGCAATTTGCCGTTTGCTGAAATTTTATTCTTGGTTCCAGCCAAAATATATCCAGATGCTAATGGAGAAGGCAAAAGTAAGAGAAAGGGAGCATGAGATCATTTATGAGAGGAAAATTGCAAAAGAGAGGAGTAAAGATGATCATCTCTTTGCAGACAAGGACAAGTTTGTAACTGCTGCTTACAAGAGGAAACTCCAAGAGCAGGCTAAGTGGTTGGAGGAAGAGCGTCTTCGTGAACTGCGAGAAGAGAGAGATGATGTAAGTGAAATTTTCTCATTTTACTTGTGACTGCTAGTTGGTAATATCTGCAGGATCTCTTTTGTTCTTTGCTTGCATATCTTAAGTCTATGGTTATTGATATGAAAACTATGGATGGCCTTTCATTTTTGTGTAATGTCTCCAAAATTTAATTTTACTTCACAGTGCCCTTTTCGTGTGATATCCACATGATGATAGAGCATGTTTAAGCATTGTCTTAAGTTAACCTATGTAGAAAAGATTGTGATGGTTGTCATCTTCTGGTAAATCTTTCTGTAAAGCTCATTTTAAAAGTTTTTGCCTCATGTAACCTGATAATGTTTCTTTGGATAGAATATGAACACTCTTACAAAGGAAAAAGAACTGAACGGTAGAAAATTACCTTCTCAATTTTATTAAGGCCCTGATGTGGAGCGTGTTAGCTTTTAGAGGAGTACGTTTATGGCTAGTTCTTAAATAAACAACATAGACAAATTTTATATTAGCACTTCAAGAAGTGTGTGGTGCAAAAGTTTAACGAATCATTTTTAAGATATAATTATCTTCAAGATATAATTTCACCTACATTTGATAGTGGGGCTATTTGTCTTTTTAAACTAGTACCTGAATTGTATTTCAAAAAAAGCAGTTTCAGAAAATTTTGCTTTACACACTAAAGCATTGATTTCTCAAATGCCTCACAGTTTCAACTGAGTGTGATTGGTTCCAACTAAAAGTAGTGAAGCCACCCTGCTAGTAATGATGTCAAAAGGAAAAATTGAAACTATAACAACGGCTATTAATGCTTATTGTATGGTCAAAAGCTTTGATCTTGCTTAGACATGCTGGTTAAACTTAGAACAGTTCACTAGAAATAATCACCACTAAACAGAAATGGCACATCATTTTTTTTCTCGAAATGGTACATCAGTTAACATTGTTATTCGGTAAGAAACAAATACAAAGAAGCTATGGCTGTCTGTTGCATGCATTAATTCTTCTATTTGATCTGAAAGTCACGCCTATCAGGGCATAGACCATTTATGTTCTAATAATGTTTAATATATTGCAGGTTACAAAGAAAGCTGACATCAGTGACTTTTACTTCAACCTTCAAAAAAATGTTGCCTTTGGAGGAGAGGGCAAGTCCAAGAAGGCTGAGAATCATCATCAACAGGAAGCAGTTCGGACAGAAGAAAAGCCTTCATCATCAACAAATGCACATTCAGACATGTCTAGGGAGATAAAGAGGCAAGATCATGAAGCCTCTACTTCTCCTCCTCGTAAAGAAAGGACTGATCAGATGGATATGAAGCCTCATTCAGATGGTTTGTCTGAGGAGGGGGCTGTAAAACCAGCTTCTGACAATGGACTAACTGCTGTCGCTGAATCTGTTGTGAGTGATCAACCAGACCATCATAAAAGAAATCAGGATGCTGTCACCGCAGCTAAGGAACGCTATTTGGCAAGGAAGAGGGCCAAGCAGCAATAGATTTGTGTTCCTAAGCTGCTGTTGGTGTTTTGTTTTGAAACTGATCCTTCATCTTTCTACGATTAGAATGTGCTCCTGTTATATATATACATTGTTGTAAGGTCTTTCAATGTCCATTTCTTATTTTGAATTTTAGGCTCTAGAGAAGGCCCTGATGATATTCTGGTGCAAAAGTCAAATATTTGAATAGCGCGCTAAATCCAAAGCTGCATAGCTACCTTGTTTCCCTTTTTAATAGCTTTTATGAGCCTGCAGATTAGTGAAAAGGGAATGAACATGTAACAATAAGTGCTTGAACTGTACAGTGGCAAAAATGATGGTATATCGACATCAGGCGCATTTCTTCCCTGGAGGAAGTTTGCTAGAAGAGCCAAAGGGCTGGATTGTTCTTATGTGCAGTAGAAATGGGAGAACTACATTCTTACAGTGTACGACTTTTAGCTGAAAATAGTAATCTCAAGTTGCACTGTGTAGAATCAATGGGGAGATAATAGGAACCTTATCCTTGTAAATAGCAGTAAATTAGTTGTGTCCAATTCTGGTGGTACTTGATGGCGAGAGATCTCTATGTTCCAAAAGACACCCATGTGCCACTCTCCAACAAAGGCCTTTTGCTCTTGGTCTGTCACGGGCATGTGGATCTATCTCATTTTTGTCTTGCAATCTAATGGCAGCTTGTCCGTTATTGCCAAAGAAAAAAGGGAGTGACGGCTTTATGTTATCTTATTATCACATTTTCAGTCTGTAAATTTTGTTTAGTTCACAAAATTCAGTCTTAAGTCATGACTTTATAGGGTGATACATAGACAGCCCCATAACCTAGCAACAATTTTAACTTAAACCTCAAACTCAGACTTGGACCTATTGAGTACCTAATGTTAGGTAAAATGTACCTATTAGACGCACTACTAACTTGAGTGTATGTGTTTCCCACTTCTCTTAAGATTAAGAGCGTGATATGACCATATTTAGCCTACATTGTTTTAAAGTTTTTTCTCTCTTCCTCGTCTCCTCTTTGTTGTCACATCCTCATCACCATCATATCCACCTCCATCAACGTCCAATGGCCACCTCCGCCAGTACGGTCAATGCTTCCACCACCACATCCACCATAAATTGTCTTCGCAACCTCCATATTCATATCCACCATTAGGCACACCTCCCCCTCCTCGCTCTCCACGACACCCATAAAGAAACCCCTCTTCCCTTTCTCTTCTTCTTTCTCCTTGGTTTTAAAGGGTTCAATAGGTACAAGCTTCCGTTGAGGTGTCTAAGTGAAGGTTGTTGCCAAGTTAAAGGAACTGTCTATGTATTTCACCAATTTAGTGCTTTCTCGTAAGGGTGGGCTATGGCCTATGCTTCATCCCTCATAAGTATCTTGACTTTTCCTATCTTTGATCAATGGACATTCGTAATTTATGGGCAGCACATAGGTTTCCCAATCAGCCAGCCAACCTATTCGTAGCCGAGGACCACCATCCTATTCGTAGCCGAGGACCACCATATCTTGGAATCTTATTCCCCCCCTTCCCCCCCCCTCCCCCCCCCCCCCCTTTATATATTCTTTTTATTGTGTTCTGTGTTTCCCCGACCTGCTGGAAAGAAAGAATATAAGAATACTGTTATCCCATGTGATGAGGACTAACATGCGAATTAATTAGTACCCAACTTTCTTATTCCATTTCAGAGCTCAGAGTTTTATTTAAACTATAATAGTGCTATGGTGACATTCACTATGTATCCTGTAAAAAGAGAAAAGGCATTCATTATGTATGGGACCTTAATTGAGTCGTTTTCACAATTCATATTATTGAAACTCAGTCAAATTTGAAACTCTAACATGAATGGGTTACCCATTGCTTAAACAACTAAGTTTGTCCATATGCCTTTAGAAAACTAGAAAATGTTTTGTTAGGTTCCGATATTTAATCGCAAGAAGAGAAAATGACTTACCACCCAAGGGTGTGGTCTAGCGGCAAAGAAGTGAGATGGAAATCTAATATTATCTTTAATCTTTTGCTTATTTTTGTTTATTTCTTTTATGAATTTGTAGCAATGCTATATATATATATATATATATATATATATATATATATATATATATATATATATATATATATATATATATATATATAAAATCCAAAAAGGGAATAGCACCAAACAAATGCTTGTGCAATGGTTAACATCTAAAACAAAATGTCTTGGAGCATTGGATTTTGTCAACCCCCAACGCTCCCTTATCGTTTACACACTTCGGTGCAAAAATTAATTGCTTTTGAAGTTTTTTGGTTGTTGAATCACATGCCACACTGCCTATTGTTGTACCTATGTCCCAAGAGGTGCCAAGACCTACTATTCTGCTTTAACTTAAGACACTCCACTTCAACATATACTACTACTTTTCTTGTCGCTATTTCTTATTAGTCTTGTTAAAAAATGATGTATATTTTTATACTTGAATTAATTTAACCTTAAATTTTATATTTAACTTTTAATTGACGTACTTTTACGATCACAATGTTCTCACTACATATTTGAGATTACAATTTTTTTTTAAAAATTTGATACTTAGTCAAACATCACCATATAAATTGAAATATAAAATTATTATCTCCAAATAAAGTCATTAGAACTTCAACGTACTGCTCCTACTATTTAGATTGGCAATTATCTCCAAAGGCACAATTCCCAAAAACCATGGCTTCTGCTTTTTTTCCTCTCCTCCTTTTTCTCTCTATCCTTTCTCTCCTCTTTCCCTTCATTTCTTCATCAAACTCCCCCACAACAATCCCTCTCTCACTTTTCAACACCAACCCAAATCAAGATTTTTACCAAAAGCTCACTCATTTAGCTTCTGTTTCCTTAGCTAGAGCACATCATATAAAGAATTCTCAAGATTCTTCTGTTTCCAAAATCCCTTTATACCCTCATAGCTATGGAGGTTACTCAATTACTCTTGGATTTGGTACTCCTCCTCAAAAAATGTCTTTTATTATGGACACTGGCAGTAGCTTTGTTTGGTTCCCATGTACTAAAAAATACCAATGTTCCAAATGTCCTGTTTCTTCACAAAATATTCCTACATTTGTTCCCAAGTTGTCAACTTCAGCTAAGGTTGTTGGATGTTTGAATCCAAAATGTAGCTGGATTCACCCCAAAACCAATCCAAAATCTCGTTGCCAAGATTGTCAATCACCCAACACATCAAATTGCAAACAGGTTTGTCCACCTTATATAATTCTATATGGTGCAGGTTCCACAGGTGGACTTGGCATAGTTGAAACATTAAACTTACCTAACAAGAAAATACCAAATTTTCTTGTTGGTTGTTCTTTATTTTCCTCTCAACAACCGGCTGGAATCGCGGGTTTTGGTAGGGGAATTTCATCATTGCCAAATCAATTAGGTGCCAAGAAATTGTCATATTGTCTTGTGTCTCATAGATTTGATGACACTAGCAAAAGTAGCATGCTTGTTTTGGATAGTTCTAATGAAAAGTCTGCAAATTTAAGTTACACCCCTTTGCTGAAAAATCCAGTGGTTGCTAGAAGAAATGCATTATTAGAGTATTATTATGTTGGCTTAAGAAAAATCACAGTTGGTGGGCAGAAAGTGAAAATACCATATCATTATTTGACACCAAATTCCAAAGGGGATGGTGGGACTATAGTGGATTCAGGGACAACTTTCACATTCTTGAATCATGGAATTTTTGAACCTGTGATGAGTGCATTTGTGAACCAAGTAAAGGGGTTTTCAAGAACTGAGAAAATTGAAAAATTGACAGGTTTAAGGCCATGTTTTAATGTTTCAGGGCATAAAACAGTGTCATTGCCAGAGCTGAAGTTTCATTTCAAAGGTGGTGCAGAAATGGCATTGCCATTGGCAAATTACTTCTCTATTGTTGGTGAGAAAGATGTGATTTGTTTGACTATGGTGACTGATAGAGATTCCGGGTCCGAATTATCGACCGGGCCGTCGATAATTCTTGGGAATTTTCAGATGCAGAATTTGTTTGTTGAGTTTGATCTCAAGAATGAGAAGTTTGGGTTCAGACAGCAAGTTTGCAAATGACATAAAGTTGAGGAAAAGGAAATGGTGTTTTAGAAAAGTCACAACAATATATTTGCTTTTTGAAGTATCTGACATGATTTTGTAGTATGATTGCACTATGATTGTATTTGCAGGAATGGAAAAGGTAGTTCTTAAAGTAGCTTATTTGGTAGAGGTATTATAGTGGAGGCCTATTGGTGGGAAGATTAAGAGCCATGTACCTTTGTTTTTTTGATCTTTTTTAGGAATAATGGAAGAGCCGAGGATCTTTCGTAAATAATTTCTTTACTTTCATAATGTAGAGATAAATATGCGTACACACTATCCTCCCTAAATTTCATTTGTGGGATTACACGGAGATTGTTATTGTTGCAGTGTAAGGAACAGGCTAAAAAGAAATAAAGGGAGGGAAATTGCAAACTTTATGAAGATGTTTTTGTTGATTTTACAGAAGGAATAAATTCTCAGTAGCTAATAGTTTAATTTCCCTTTTTTCTAAGAAAATTTAGTTGGTGTTATGTAAACAACTTTATCATGTGGTTGGATGGTCTGTTTTCTCCAAAAAGACAGCACTGATGTGGTGTATGTGCCAGTTAAGATTACAAAACCTATTTTCTCTTGCCTTGTCATGTGCATTTTCTGGCTAAACAAAATTGGGGTTTAGTTCACTAGTATGATTAAAAAATTAAGAATTCCCAAAAGTATTACTCCACTGTTCTTGATCCTTTTGTCAGAATGGATGGTCTAAAGGGAAAAAGTGAAGAAAAAACAGCGGAATACTAGAAAAAGAAGATATTGTGACAGAATTACAGTTTCATGAGAAAAGCAATTTGGTTCAATAAACAGATTTGTCCAAAAGTCTCCAGAAATGTTTAGATGGGTCACCGGGAGAAAAAGAAAAAAAGGAGCGAATCAAGTAATTTTTGTTTCTCTTGAATTGACTTATTAGCACTTCATAGTTTTCATATTAGGTAGAGATATCAAGAATTCTCTCTTCTCCCTGGCCTAATTCGAGTTATCCTGATCCTTCTTTCATGTTTCATTGTTGAATTATGGGTTGACCCGCCTCGATTAGGAGAAAACAAAGTAAGGGTGGTTAAAAGAAATTATCATATCTCTAAAACTTCCTATGTGAATGTGAAAACAGGTGGAGCTTATATTTCATAATTGCTTCTACCCTTCTTTATAAGAAATTCAATTTTCTTCTCACTAATTCTCTCAAAAGAAAAGGGCACTGGAATTTAGTTGATGAAAGATTAACTTTGTTTTGTTATCTAGAAAAACAAGTTGGACTTAGGAGCAATTTCGTCGATTGTGATCCTATTCTGCTGCATTAACAAGTACACAAGATTTTGTTCGCTAACAACATTAAGTTGTAGTGAAGAGGGGATAATTTACAATTGTCAAAGAGGTATGCAACATTTCAACTGTATACCTCGCTATTAAGTATATGGCAAATAAATATAGATGGTAATTAAGAGTAAAAAAGAAGAAATTTTCACATGAATTGAAACATGAGAGTCAAAAGGGAGTGCACAACATGAGTACCATAAATGCAAAATCTTGAATTTCTCATGTAAGAACTACGAAAATTAAGTGTTATACATTATTGTAGTTATAACAATAGATTTTTAGTAATTTTAACCCGTAGCCGCTTTATTTTTCTGTTTGCATCCGCACCCGTTTTTTTGTTAAAAGCCTTTTAAAAAGACTATTTTGCCCTTCTTTATTAAAAGACTACTTTCTCTCCAAGCATACGCTAGTCCTCTACTGTCTCTGTCTCTCTCCCGTTATTCGCGTTTTTTGATTTGTTCTTCTCTGAAATCAAACATTTTTCTCCGTCGTTTTTTTATTTTTCAACTGCTAGTCGTCGTTGTTCCCACATTACGACTTAATCACAGGTACATTGCATTAACTTTCTGGGTTTTATTTTAGTATTAATTTTTACGATTTAATTTTTGATTTTGGTTTTGATAGTCATGTATTTATGATAAAATAGTTTCTTAGGGTTTAGTTTGATAAGTGCATTAGTTTTACTTTTACGATTGTGTTTTTAGGTTTTTTGAATGAGTGTTTGTGTTGTTCATGAAAATTCTACAAATTCTTTAGTGATTAGATGTTGAATTTTTAAAAATTTTGAGAGTTAAATAGATGATACTATTAAGTGTGAAGTTTATAATAGTTCAATGATACCTTAGATAAGAGTTGAAGTTTTTTTCTTATTCATGTTTTGGCATTATTTTTGGATTTGAATTTGTGTTTTGTTTTTTGTAAAAACTACAGTATATTTTTTTGCTGAATGTTTTGTTTTGTAACTGGTGAACTTCAGCTTTAGGAGATGAAGTTTTTGTTTCTATAATTGGTGAACTTCAGCTCTAGAGCTAAAGTTTTTGTTTTGTAACTATTGAACTTCAGCTCTATAGCTGAAGTTTTTGTTTTGTAACTATTGAACTTCAGCTCTATAGCTGAAGTTTTTGTTTTGTAACTGTCGCACTTTAGCTCTACAACTGAAGTTTTTGTTTTGTAACTGTCGAACTTCACCCTTCTTAGAGATTTAAGTTTGAACTGATCTTTTTGATAATGTTCTGATGTTATTTTCTTGTATATTTTACTTTTTTTTTGAACATATGGTACCTAAAGCACCTAAAGATCCTAATGCAGCTAAAGTACGCAAAGCAAATGCACCTAAAGCACCTAGACAACCTATAATACACCCAGGTCCTTATATCCCTGCTCCTCTGCCTACAAGACCAGGGCAAAAATATTTTGAGTTTCGAGATTGGTTTAACTGTAAGGGTTACTGGAAGGGGAACCACGATTTGAAGAGTTTAATTGCAAATTTCTTGACTCCTACACAATAGGATAAGCTTAATAATGGTACATTTCGATACATTATGGCTATGGAGAATTTCAAATGCAGCATGAAGTTGGTTCATTGTCTGTGTCTTTCTCGAATATTCACCAATGATCGAGACTGCATTAATTTCAAGATTTTTGGCCATGATGTTTCCTTCACCCTTGAAGACTTTCACATTATGTGCGGTTTGAGGATCACATCACATAATATTGAAACACCAATTAATCTAGAGAGCAATATTCTGAAGCGCTATTTTGGTACGTCCAAGGGTGTGACTTTGAAGGATATTCGAGATTTTATGACTCAGAATGAAATTCAAAATAATGTTGTGAATCACCATCACGTATGCGAGAGTGATGATGATGATGTGAAGTTTATGGAAATTCTTATTGTAGAGTCTATTTTGTTTGGGAAAAAAACTGAGTCATCTGTGATGGAGGAGTATTCATCTATTGTTGAAAATCATAAGATTTGTACTGAATATCCTTGGGGTAATGTGGCTTATGAGAAGCTCATTTACTCACTGAAACATGCATTGTACAAGCAGAATAAAGTACGTTCAACTGAAAGTTGGTGGATTTCCATATCCGTTATGTGCTTGGCTCTATGAGTACTTCCCAGATATTCAGGAGAAGTATATAAGAGAGGATTAATACCTTGATACCCCTCAGGTTCCCAGGATGTTACGTTATGTATGTGTGGGAGAGCCTAAATATCCCGAACTTTTTGATTTCTTCAGTAGCCATGAAGTAAGTTACTTTTTTTTGTCTTTGTGTTTATATGTTGACGTATTAGTTTCCCCCCCTCATAATATATTTTTTTGTATAAAATAGAATTATCGCAGCTTTAGGGTATTGGATATAATTCCTACAGAAGAGGAATTGAAGTCAATGCCTTTAATTGGACAATTATCATGCAGTCGGATTCGTTCAAAGGTACTTAATACGGTTCCTTCAACTGGTGAATCACCACGTAGTCTGAGTCGATCAAAAGAAGTGAATCGAACTCCTGTTATTGGTCAATCACCACGTAGTCGGAGTCGATCAAAAGAAGCAAATCGAACTTCTTTTATTGACGAATCATCTCGTACCCAGAGTCGTTCTAACCGTTCTACAACTAAGTTTGATGACAATGAATTACTCGACACAATATGTTCTGTAAGTTTTGATCTGAAGTTTTTTGGTTTTGTTTTTTTAAAAGTACAACATGTTTTTGAGCTGAAGTTTTCTTCTATATCTGAATTTTTGTTGTGTGTCTATACTAGAGGGTAACGATGGAGGTTCAAAGGCATGCAGAAAAAGAAAGAAGCACGATCGTGAAAGAAGTTTTTGATAAGTTTCAAAAGGATGAGCGATCTGCTATTGTGGATGCGGTTTTTGGAAAAGTGAAGGTAAGCTAATTTATAGAGAAGTCTTTTTATTTCTGCTAATGTTATTCAGATTAATCATTGTTAGTAATTTTTTTTCTAGGAATATTTCGATGAGAAGTTTGAACAGTTGTTTAAGATTGTCAACAAATCAAATGGAATGGACGATGGCAATTTTGATTTGAGTAACCATCGAGAATATGATAGGATGAACGACTGTTTCAAACATCTATCGGATATTAATGTTGTTGATGATGCATCGCATAAAGTCGCAGATGTAAATGCTACACGTGAGGAAGCGATTTTTGAAGGCGATCAACATGTTCAAGAACAAGTTAAAGAGGAACGTTCTAATGCTGATAGATTGAGCACAGATGGAAATGGTGAAGAACAGTTATCAACTGAGAATGTTAGAAGCAAGAAAGGTGCAGATAATCAAGTTGTTTATACTAAAGAACATGCTGCTCATGATGCATCACATAAAGTCGCAGATGATAATGCTACACGTAAGGAAGCGGCTATTGAAGGCGATGAACATGTTCAACAACAAGGTGGAGAGAAACAATCTAGTGTTTATAGACTGAGTAAAGATGGAAATGATGCAGAGTTAACAACTGAGAAGGGTGCAGATGATCAAGTTGTTGGTACTGAAAAACATGCATCGAGTTGTGCTTTGGAAAGTGATATTGCAAAATGCAATTTATTTGGTGATGGATATCAAGCACCTGTTGGTACTTTAGAACTGAAAGCGAGTGATGTGTCTAGCACTATTGGGAAACACGATCGGTTTGCAGAAGTAATAGCTATTTTCAATGAAATTGTAGGTGGTTATACATAGGAAATTGTCACTACAGGTATAAAGTGTGAAGTTTATAGTATTTCAATGATACCTTAGATAGGAGCCGAAGTTTTGTTTCATGTTTTGTGTTTTTTTGTTATATTTTTTATGAACTTCAACATTATTTTTGGATTTGAATTTGTGTTTTGTTTTTTGTAAAAAACTACAGCATGATTTTTGCTAAATGTTTTGTTTTGTAACTGGTGAACTTAAGCTCTAGAGCTGAAGTTTTTGTTTTGTAACTGTCGAACTTCAGCTCTAGAGCTGAAGTTTTTGTTTGTGAGTGGCGAACTTCAACCTTCTTAGAGTTCAAGTTTTAACTAATTTTTTTTGATAATATCATGTAGTGAAATTTTCACTAT